AGCAGGTACAGCAGGAAGCTCCAGAGCTTGGCGGCGAAGGCGAGGAAGGCCCGGAGGCCGAGCAGGCACTGCGAGCGCATCATCCCGCCGGCGGGGCCCGCCGCGCCCCCGGCCCGGCCCAGCTCCGCCAGCTTCCAGCGGGGAACGAAGGACGGACGGACGGAAGAGGGGAGGCGGGGGGCGGGAGGGCCGCCCTCCGGCTCAGCCCGTGCCCGCGGGCCCCGCCATCCCAGCTCCGCGACGGCCGCTGTCGGTCGCTACCGCCTTGGGGGGAAGCGGTCCCCCCGCCCCCGCCGACTCTCGCCTCTTCTTCAGGCTACTTCCGGAGCAACCGACGGAGCGCTAGAGTCTGCTTCCGGAGCGCGGGGGCGCGTCCAATTAGAAGCCGAGGGAGGCGTAGGGAGGGGGAGGGCTCCGCGCATGCGCCTCTCGCGGCGGCGCTCGAAGCGTCCGCCGTGGAATTTGAAAGCAAAGCAAGGGGTGGAAGCGAGCGCGCATGTGCCACAGGAACTGGCCGTCCCCCCCCAAAAGAAGCCGAACGCGCATGTGCGAAGAGTTTACGCTCTCTCTGCCTTCTCCTTCTGTAGTACAAAGTAACACGAAAAGGCGATTTCAGACGTTGTTTCCTGCTCCGCGCCCCGTCCCACGGCGGGACAACGAGAGAGAACCAGCTACGGAAGGCAGAATGGGTTTTATAACTGCTCCACTTGCAGTATTATTAGCAGCGGGCCACACTGCAGGGTTGTTTTTTCATTCGGGGCGTCCTTTTCGCAGCCTCCCCACTGCTGCCTGAAAAGACGGGCAGCTCTTCGTCCCTTTGATTTTGGGTCTCGAAATCTGGAGAGTTAGTGCATTGCACGTTGGCAAGGGTTGCTCTTTTCTTCCCTTTGCTTTTCTTTCTGCCCATTTTTTAAAATTCTACTCATTTATGCTTTCTCTTTTTAAAAAGAACGATTTCTAGATTTGCTGTAAACTGAGCACACAGGCTCTATGGCAGTGTTTCTCAACCTCGGCGACTTTAAGCCGTGTGGACTTCAACTCCCAGAATTCCCCAGCCAGCATGGCT